TAATTTATCTTTAGTTATTATTAGTTGTTTTTACCTGTATTTTATTGTCTACTGTTAATACACGACACAAAAACTGTGAACATTGTATATAAAAACATAGCGACCCGCTCCGGTTTCGCACCGGCATAAAATCTACTTCATATAGATCTATATTAAATCACCAATGTATTTAAGTACTTAATTCAATAAAGTATGACGCTGTATTGGTTAAAATCACTTAGAAAATTTACTAAGGTTTGACGTAAATAGTAAATGACGAAATAATACACATATGTATTGTGGAATATCCATAGCAGATACACATATACCTACCCTTAGAGAGTTTTCTGAAGACTATCAATGTGTAACTGTGTACTTAATACATTATTTTGATCAATCTCGTAGGGTTCAGCCTACGTTTGCAATTTAAGGGACAAAATTTTTATTACTTACGATACTCCTTAAAAAAGTCAAAAAATTAGAGTATTTCTTAATTATTTAATGGGTATTATTATACTTATAAACCTTCCTCTTTAATTACTCTATCTAATAAAAACTACAGAGAAATCCTTTTGCTTAGTTTAAAAGATTTAATCATACAAAGGGATATAGAAACAGAGAAAGCGATTTTGTTCAACTATGTAGTGATATTAAATGATTTCTCTTTGTTTTCTATCAAAATTTATCTATACGTAGTGTATTCCTAATCTTAGCCTATCTTACTAGGCTAAGATTAGTGCATTTGGTGTATAAATTAATAATTATTAATGCCATGTGGTGTATTTTTTTTGTGAAAGTCCAGTTAAATAAATTCTTATTTAATAATTAGATGACAGAAAGACCGAGGTTATAATTTTAGAAATTAATATCGATGGATGGAAGAAGTCCTTTATATTTCATGATAAAAATATATTGTATTCTAAATTTCATAAAAGAGTTGTCAAGTTCTTCAAAGTTCTAATATAATTAAAACTATTAATCACTTCTTAATTGAAAGAGTTTAAATATTATAAACGATTCTTTCATTATTATATTAAGATACAACGTTGGCACCTATGTAGAATAACTGTAAATACAATTATCCACAATATCTAAAACGTTCCGGCTTATTGTTCTAGAGTCTAGATGCAAGCATAATGCGCTGACTTTATTTTGAGGTTTGCCCGTGATAACTGCTGCTGTAAAATAACCTAAACGTGGGATGAAGAATTAAACAATACATACTCGTAGTATATCCAAAAACATTGTTTAATTTTAAAATAATAAAGTCAGTATATTAAATATTATCAAAATATTTTTAATATAATCAATATTTATTAATATCTTATTTTTTATTGGAACTTACGAATAATATTGCAGTGTGAAACGGAAAGAAAATATTAAATCTCTCAATCTCATTAAAACCAAACGACCCGAAGTATACAACATACCGACTAATTTAGTTATACAATATGATAAGAATCGCTTTATTAGAATACAAATTATATGTACATAGAAATAAGAACATTAATTGAATGAGCAACTTTCTTTTCAAAATAATGCCGTTTGAATTATAAGTGACAAATTGGTTTTTTTTTGCTTCACTGATAATAGCGAAGCTTTTAGATTATGAGAATATTAAAATTAATTACTGGAAAAAAATAAAATAAAGCATTCGAAAAGTTACTTATAATTAAAATGTTGTAATTTGCTAATACATATCAACGATACATAATAATTAACTTAATCAGAATTCGTACAATTTTACTATTTCCATTATATTAAAGTACATAAAATCCTATTTAATCTACAACATTTGGTGAATATTATTATCACATTTTACTTTAGTTACAGTGTTCTGAATTTGCCTTGTTTAACAATTTACAGGAAACATACAAAGTTAGTGATAAACTGGGGAATTTAATTTTAACTTGGTGTTCACGGCGTCTTACTTCAACGTTGATGGTACTTATATAATAAGAAACCCCAATTAAGGCTTGAATCAAATGAAATAATATAAATTCATTAATATTAATAGGAACAATGGCATTCTTTTATATGAATTCTAAAAAACATTGCAATAGGTGAAACAAGGGTCACATAAAAATTTTTTTTTTCCTTATTTACTTGATGGTTCCGATAAAGACTAAAACGAATGTTAAACGCTCACCTCCATTGTCCAAGCTGCCCTTTCTAGCTAACAAAATTTGAAACGGTCCTACTAGGGCTACCTTCGAAGTAAGTTCTAACAATGAATTTATGTTAGTTCTGGATAGGAAACAGTCTTTTAGTAGGTAGCAGTTCTTAGTAGTGCCAATAACCTCTCCACATAAAGAGCTAAGTGTACATTTTTGTCCTTTGTAAAAACAAAAACATAACAGATAAACGAATAATAAAGATTGCATTAAAATAGTAAATAACCTATATGTATTACTAGACTTTCAAACGAAATAATGAAAACGTCAACTATCCTTCATCAGACAATTGTGTTTCCAAACTTGAAAACAAACTTATAGTACTTTAAAATAGAGATCTTGATGATTTATTCCTAAGCGACAGACGTCGAGGGGAATTGAGTATTTTATAACTGTTTATCGTTTTCCTGTTTGTTTATAACTCTTGGAGTTATGGGATTTCTTTAAAATTTTTATCTCAAGGCGGAGAAAAAAATTTATATAATTGTTAAATACTTTAGTTTGATTCGTCATTGATTGTATACAGATTATATTTAATACTATAACTACACGAAGACTGTCATCATTTTCTCTGGAATTAAATATTACCTAGAGAACTTCCAGTTTCAGAAAGAACCCAGTCTGATTTTTATATAAAGTCGAATAAACAAAGATATTCCTAGAATATAAAAACATAACACATTGTAACTAGTAACCGTGCAGTGGAAAAGTAGTGAAGTGGAGTCTTTCATCAACACGTCAGCAGGCACCGAGCACTCACTGAGACGACCTCGCGGAACTGTCGCTTTAATTTAGCTTTATTGAAATACAATTACAATAAAACTTTAAAGTCATTGTTTTTCGATATAACATTCATTGGATATTTAAGTCCATCTAAGTGAAATATATAAAATAGAAATAGTAAGTGACTATATATAAATAATTCTGTTATATTATTTATACTAATAAAAGGAAGTATTACATTATGTAATCAATATTTACTTTAAAGATCACTTTTTAGTTATACCCAGATTGATGAAGATCCTTCTCTCTTTTAACAGTTTAGAAGACTCCAAATATCTCTGATATTTTTAAAGGTGATACTCATAAAATGCCAATAACTATTTATAAACCGTCCCTAGATACCACATGTCCCCTATGAGTGAGTCTCTTGTCACAACCTCTGTCAGATTAAAGACTAACCTTTCAGAACCGTAGTATCGTATATCTAAAAGGTTAAATAGGCAGTTGATCAAAATCTTGTGAAAAATAGTTAGTCAATATTAAGATTACATTTACGATAGTAAATAAGATTCAATAGTGTTGTTGTACTTTAATTGTAACCCGGTTTTTAAAATGTTTTGTAAATCTAAGGTATAATCATTATATTAAGGTCCCGGTGAAGGTTTACTGTTTGAAAGTTCAGTACGTTAAGTGATGCTCGGCTTGTGGACGGATTTTATTTCTTTATTTCATACGTTATAGCTTGCGGCATGTTTTTATTCACTAAAGGAAGCAAGTATAGAAGACTGTAGCATTTTTATCTTATTTATAATGCAACTGTGACTTCTAAGTAGGAACTTGTAATGTTACCATGAGAATATATTTTCGTGTACTAAACAAATTAACACGAATTAATTATAATTAAGTTTCCTCAAATGTTACGTACTATATTTAGCTAGCCAACAGCTACTAAATTTAGGAAGCGCTATGATAATAACGTTTTCTGATGTTCACCAACTCTTAATGTTAACACTAGTATACATATATGTATTATAGAAAAACTTACAAAAAAAAACTGAGATTACATTAAATACTTATATCATATTCATTTGTTAGTTTGTTTTTAGATATTTTTTTATATATAAATATAATAATTTATTAAAAAGAACTCAAAAATACTCATATAAGACCATAAAATACATTTTAAAGATGCAATATGACGTTGTTATACTCTGACAGTATGTAATGAACTTTCAAATTAAAAAGGGTCATTGAAAAACTTTAGAACAAAAAATAAATACGAGTTAAATTAATTCTCTCTAATATATATTTAATGCGTGTTGTGTAATATACACGTACAATATATGTACAGCACCCCCTCCAGCCTCTCCTCGGCCCCTTCAGTCTCTCTTACCTGAACCTCTCTCACAACTCGGGCGAGGACTCAGTGATGTGGTTTGATTACAGTAAAATAATTGAATATGGTGCTATGTAACATGTAATATAAATATCAATCACCATTATTATTAGTGCGTCATGTATAATCTTTAAAATGATCTGGCCTCACAGTAGCAGTTATTAACTATGATCAAAAATATAAGAACTTAAAAAAAGTATATATTTACTTCATAAAACATATCATTATCCAGATCCACTGCTAATAAATACTTGTGGAAATTGCATGTCGTAGATTTTCATGGCAAAGATGTCTTTTGTTTCACTCTAAATTTCACCGAATTACCGAAAATAAAAGTTTTTCTTTTGTCTACTTCAATAAATCACCATCACGCGCTCCTACATAATTGAAAAAGATAATAGATAATTTTATACTGTTTGATAACTGATACTTAACCTAACAATTTATAAGTAGTTGCTGTAAAATTTTAGTTTCATTAAATATAATAGATAACCATTTTACATAAAAAAAACAACGTTTCAGTGTTAATAAGCAATGAATAATAGGACGGATTAACTTACTTTGCTTACAAAAGCGATTTTTTTTAAATAATTATTCCTTACCTGAGAGACGAAACCTCTTAGCATTCCATGGATTCACGGTGCGTGTGTCGGGTCCATCGCGTTGCAGGGAGAGGAGCTTCAACGGTGCCCGGGACTTGCGACCCAGGTGTAGGTTTAAGGGGCCCCTTATCTAACGTGCAATATACGCTCACCTCCACTGTTCAAGCTCCTCTCCCTACCTAACCAAATTTGAAAAGAACCTACTAGGGCTGCCTTCGACGTACGTTCCAAGAATGAATTAATGTTAGTTCTGGACAGGCCCAAGTCCTTTAGTAGGTTGTAGAGAGATTTCGCTGTTATACCTCTCGCTCCCACCTCTACCGCGTACAAATCTACTACGAACCTATTTCGAGTGAGTTCGTTTGTGAGCTCGTAATATTTGTTGACCTTGATGGTATGGTCTTTGGGGATGTTGGTTTCCCAAGGCACCGTGAGCTCTATCATCACAACGCGCTTTAAAATACGCGAATATAGAAATATGTCTGGTCTGGAGGCCGACGCACAAATATCCTCGAGGATTTTGTATTGTTTCTCATACGTATCCATCATGATAGTCCAATCCGAAGCCGCTTTAAGGATAGAGTAAGGCTTGACGTTTGATTTTATAGCCCTGGTGCCCTATAGTATCACAGGTATTGAAGCTGTAATTACCAAAATATCTCAAAGCTGAAATAAAGAGAAATATCAAAAGAAAATGTTTGAAAATTCCAGATACATTTATGAAGCAAAGGCGACTGCGACTGAAAACAAGCAAATAGAAATATTACTGTGTGCCGTCACTAGATGCTTGGATTAGTAACTGGAATATTAAAAGATTTTATCTACATTTAACAATTGAAAATTTATTATAGAATGAGAATGATACATTTACAACACTGTGATTATTATATAACAAATATTCTAGTACAAATATATAAAAAATAATGCGAATATAACATTGTTATTTGTGCCGTTACAAATCCTTAAAAGTTATAGTCTTGAGAATAAAAGTTTATTCATATTTAAAATAAAATTATTATTAAAGCTATTTATCTCGATTCTGACAGTTAACTAAATTTATGATTTGTTCTAACCTACATGTTAAATTGTGTCAGAAAAAGATTAAGAATATAAGACGAGCATAAAAATAAGATTCAAAACAAATATGTATTACATTACATACAGCATTACTAATCAGAAGTAGCTTCCCTTACGCACGCACTTACATTACATTTTTTTTATTTTTGCAATTCAAGAATAAAAATTACGTTTTATATGAATATTCTTATCAAAATATAAAAGATATTCGATACTATTGTAAATAGGTACTACATTAAATAGTTCCAAATGAGTCAACAACCAACATAATTCATGTTATAATGTTTCTGTCGGCGTCATACGTAATTAACTGACTGAAGTTCAGTGAAATACTTGAAACAATATTTGAAATACACTTTATATGAAGTAACTGCTTTCTAATAAAATTGTGAAGTAACAATAGAAGAAATAAAAGTTTCCCAGAGGCAATGGATTAATTTATTTAAACTCGTTGTCTTCAGTCGCACTACTAACGACTTTATTAGTCTTTCAGGGCGAATAACTCATATGTTTATCTCTTAGTTCTAACTAGGAGATATAAAGAGAAATGATGTAAAAGATCGCCATATAGTATGATAATCATTAAACTCGCTCACTTTGTACAATATTTATTAAATAAACAGAAGAAGGCAAGTCATGATGGTAGATGTGTTGTAAGTGTTAAGAATACTATAATTATTGTGTTAATACGGAAGAGAAGTTAAAACAACATGTTCATGTCAGGATCTGTTAAATACTATTAGATATGCGTTTTGTATTTCTATTATATAAACCTTCAGTGAGTTTTTACTTCAATGTGATGCAGTTGTTTTTCGACTAATTATTTTCTTTAAAATTCTCGTGAAATAGATTTCATCCATCTTATACACATGAATGTAGACGTGACTTGGCACTCTCGCTCCTCCCAAGAGCGGTATGATGTCAGTCGTTAATGAAATGTTGCCGAGAGATACTCGATGGAGAGGACAAGTAATGTTTCAGAATTAATGTAGCTCTACCACTATGGGAGCTCGTTTTATTCATAACATTAAATAGAATAATTATCTTTATCGTTATTCTTAGCTTCAATAGAGAATATTCTGAAGAATCGCAAGATTTCAAATAAGAACCATACAACATACTTTAAGGAAGTAAAAAAACACACAAAGGCAGCTCCTAATGATGTATATATTGGAACGTAGTTTTTGGAAGAACGTTTCTTAAAATATATATATATTTTGGATATTGGATTATTTTCATTAGATCAATTTTTTTTTATATATTTTGTTAACAAAGTTAGATCACCCTCCCTTCTAGACCATCAGTTATTGTCATGTTAAGTGAGATTAATTCTCTAAAATCACTTTTTATTTGGAGGTTTCTTAAAATCATAGAAACAAGACTTTTAAAGATCTAAAGGAAAGATTTTCTTTCACGTTTTTGTTTTTGTTCCGAAAATATTTCATGAAATGCTTTTTAGAACGTTTTAAAATTGCGAAGTAAATTATTTTCATTAAAATAGTGCTATTCTCTTATGTTCCTAAAATTTATAACTATTATTATTGAAGCTATTGTACTTCCCTACTTAAACATTTACGAGTATGCGTGCCTTTATTATAAGACTTATTACACTCGGTATTATCAGAATTTTAATATCTGTAAATTTAATTCAGTATTAAAAATATATTCTTAAAATATTCTTTGCTTAATTTAATGTTTACTTTATTATTATTTATTATCTTATTCACCGTTTCATTCAGCTGGTGGGAGTGCAAAAGCGATCCCCCGCCCCGATACAAGGGCCGTCGTGGAACACCCTTGGGTTTTTAGTGGGTAGTGGCAACGAGTCCCACATACCCCGCTGTTTCCTAAAAACGGCGGGGATGCGTAAGTGCATTTTCCCAAGGAAAAAACCCGTTTCATTCAAGAGAACTGTTACATTTCTATATTACAAGTTTACTTTAAATTTATCCTATTTTATGAATACTTTTTCAAATACAATTATAAAAATATTTGTTTTTATACTATTTTATACACATGGCTTCTGATTGGTAACCATTCGAGATAGCCTTTACTATATACATACATGCCGCTGTAAGTTTTTTTTCGTAATAATATTACGTAAAATGATTTAATAAAAATGTATGTTTAGATTCTGGTCAAATGCTAGTGGTGCTTCTGGTCAAATGCTAGTGCTAAATACTATTCTGGTAAAATGGTCACATCAGCATATTAAAGAAATTAATATCCCGAGTACTGAGCTTTATACGACACTTGATAGACCATATAAGAAATATTTGCTGAGCCAGTTTCGTTATGAAAATAACGAAATATCTTAACACAGATAACTGTACACGTATTAAGATGGTTTTGTTAAATGTGACTCTATTGAAAATATTTATAAATAGTTAGTGTTTCATTCAGAAACATTCTCCATATGCACAAACTGTTATGTTAACTTGAAGTATTGTAATTATTTTTTACATCTCATACTTACACAGATATGTATCTGCTTCAGTAAAAAAGCAACAAATATTGTTCACGATAGCAAGTACGAGGATGAAAGGCAATATGTATTCATGTATCGTGCTCATGTAAGTGAAAGTTTTCATCTCTCTTGAATATTACGATGTAATTTCATCCAATAACACTTTTTAGTAAGTCAATTGTTACTATGTCTTTCTCCACTTGGCGAAAGGAATACATATTGAATATTGTATTGCTTTGACTAAAGAGCTCCTTTTATGCTTATACGATACGATTATGTAACATTACTGTTTTTTTTAATATAACTGTAACTTATTTATAAATCTCTGAACATTTAACTTTACACACAAACCTCCATACTAACAGATGAACAGACGGTGAGACACGTGTTACTTCTATTGCGTATAATATAAGTATGTGATGTCAGAAAAGCACTAACAATTATAACTATATAGGTTCAAACAAGATAAGAAATATTTGATTTGAAAAAAAATAACACTCTGAGAACAATCATTATGAACCAATATAAAAATAATATTACCTTTTTTTGTGTTAAACAGTGCATAAAAAGAATATTTGTATTGACATAAATAATTCATAAAATCATTTAGTTCAAAAAAAATAAATAACTGACTCAAAAAATGTGTTTAATATTAAAGTTAGAATCCAGAACTTTATGATATTCCTTCAAGTGGCGATTAATGCTGAAATAATAATAGTAAGGCTCTGTTGTTTTAATTTGAAAATAATTAATCAATTTAACGGATACAGTCCCGTTCTTTTTTGAACCAAAACAAAATAAACCAAAATCAATTTATACCATTTAATACACATAGTAGCTTTCCAGTTAATATTATTGGATTTTCAAAGTGATTACGAATGGTTGTGTTTATACAGTCGTTTATATAAAACACTTTGATGGAGTGATCACTGGGGACTACATGATATGATAGTTACACTCTTATTATATAACGTCTAGTGATGCTCGTACCGCTCCATACAATAAGTAGTGTCTGTTTATCATGACTGGCAGCACATGCCTCTATAGATTAACCTCACCTCACACAGTAGCAGCGGGTGTATCATATATGTATGTATATGTAATTTGTTTTATCCTACAACCTGAATCAAATAATTTAAGTTCAACAGGATATAGACGCTGAGAACCACCACCAACTGTGATGGTCCTTGTACTGACAAATCGTCCTGATATTTATGATTAACTGATCAATATATCTTTAGGAAAAGTAGACTACAGCTTGCTACCGACCTTGAGACATACTGTTGTACAAAAAATTTAATAAATTAAAATTGTTATACCTACAGTGTTTATTATTCTACTTTTAATTAAATAACCAGTTAGTGATTTGTTTATCAAAATTATTTATTCTAGAAATCGGGAGGAAGATTATCTAATTACAAGAACGAGTTAAAGTCTGGAATAAAGTAGTGACAGTGTTTGTGGGTGTATTAATAGTTAAATCAATATGGAAGATGGATCAACTGAATGTTGTAAAGCAGCATTGCTGACGTCACACTTCTGAAAAATCAAATACATATAACAAGGTTCTTCAACCTCTCAGATATCCGACACACTCTGACAGCTCATGGGGACGATACAGGTCTCATTGTCGCTGCTGTGTTGTATATTATTTTTTATCAAAAGTCTATTTTGTCTTGAGCTCTAAACATAATTGATGAATTTTACTAACGTTAATTCAATTTTGTGATCAGAATGAGTATCAATAAAAAGAGTACATTTAAACCTATATATAATATAAACCTGTATAACGTACACAGTCTCGTGTGTAAATTGACTTAATGGATTTAAACTCGGGCTTAACTTTGTTGAACGTTTATTTTAAATAGATTTTGTAAATGAACATGGAGTGTAAAGTAAAGTTAATATAATATTATATAAAAAAAGGTTTTGACTGTTTCTTATTAAACACACATGTGATCTTCTGACTATTCTCTCTTAACATTGATGCTGGTATAACAATGTATGTCTTCAGGAAGGCAGTAAGTTGTCATCATCTGACCCTCGTCCTGCACCACTCACCTGCTGCTCCTCGAGAGCAGACCACGACTTCCCCATAACAGACGGCGCTCTCCATCCAACTGAGAGGATAGTATGTAGTACGGGTATGTAGTCTGTCTAGTTGATCTCGACATGTGTAAATCGTTTCATATACCTAAAAACCACATTAAAACTTTTACATAGTAATCTTACGATAATATACCTCGAAAATCATATCTCAATTTGTGCTAATACTTGAAATGTTTTAATACCAATAACATAATCGCTTCGTGATCGGAGAAGCACAACTCAGTCTTAATAGTGGTTCTTGAAGGCCACACCTCATTGGTATTCAAACTGAGCTCTACGACCATCTGTGAAATGTTAAATCTGTAAAATATTATATGATTAAAGAAATGATACGTCACTAGAGAGAAAAGTTCAACATTACATATTCCTACTTCAATACAACTTCTCAGTTGTATTTTCACTGTTATACTCTCTGTCTTTGTTCTGTCATCCTCGATACAGTGAGCTTTACAGATATGTCTTGAGAGTCCCAACACCCAAGGCGCTGCTGTGTTAGCCGTATCTCTAACGGCCC